AAAAAAACAAAAAAACAAAAAAAAAAAACAAAAAAAAAAAAAAAAAAAAAAAAAAAAAAAAAAAAAAAAAAAAAAAAAAAAAAAAAAAGAATGCTCTTGAGGAGCTGGAGAAATGGCTCAGAGGTTAAAAGCCCTGGCTGGTCTTCCAGAGAACCCTTTTTCGATTCCTAGCACCCATATGTCAGCTCACAAACAGCTTAAACTTCAGTCCCATATGGTCTGGTGCTATCTTCTGGTCTCTTCAGATACTGCATGCCCATGGTGCCCAGACATAAACATGGGCAAAACACTCACACATGTAAACATTACCTGTTTTTTGTTTTTATCTTTTAAAAAAATGCCTCCTTAAATTTGATCTAGCTCAGGGCTGATGGTATTTAGAATCTATGAAGAATATCAGTAGAGCGGACATGTGTAGTGTCTGTGTGACAGACCAAAACATTCCTAAGAACTGTACCACACACTCCTGGAGTAGGTAGACTGGTTTGATCTGGGAAGGTGTCACTCCAAGGGTTGGCCAGTTGGGTCTAAGACTCACCGAACCTGCTCCATCACTACCCTATATCTTAAAAGATTAGGAGACTGAAGAGCTGGGTGGATAGCTCAGTCAAAAAAGTACATGAAAGGGCTGGAAAGATGGCTCAGTGGTTAACAGCGCTGCCTGCTCTTCCAAAGGTCCTGAGTTCAATTCCCGGCAACCACATGGTGGCTCACAACCATCTGTAATGAGGGCTGGTGTCCTTTTCTGGCCTGCAGACATACACACAGACAGAATATTGTATACATAATAAATAAATAAATATTTTTTAAAAAGTACATGAAAGTGTGATGCTCCAGCATCCAAATAAGAAGCCAGGCATGAGTATGTCCTGCAGTCTCAGCAAGGATGATGTCTTCATTACTGTCCTATTGCTGTGAAGACACTGTCACCAAGGGTACGTACAGAAAAACAGCATGTAAATGGGGGCTTGCTCACAGTCTCAGAAATCTAGTCCATGATCATCACAGTGGAGAGACTGAGGTGACAGGCAGGCAGGCAGGCACAGCCATGGAGCAGTAGCTGAGAGTTCACATCCTGAATTTGCAGGCAGGCAGAGATAGTGAGACTAGATCTGGTGTGAGCTTTTGAAATCTTAAGCTCATCCCCAGTGACACACCTCCTCCAAAACCACACCTCCTAATCCTTCCTAAACAGGTCCACCAACCGGGACTCAAATATATGAGCCTATGGGGGCCATTTTCAGTCAAACCACCATAGGGGAGATAGAGACAAAGGGGATGCCTGGGGCTTCTGGCCAGGTAGGCCAGAATTAATCTGCTAGTTCCAGCTCCCAGTGAGAGCTTTTCTCTGAAGTTGAGATAAATGGCTCCTGAAGACCAACACTCAAGGTTGTCCTCTAGCTCTTGTGTGCACACACATATGTGCCCATGTGCACACACACACATACACACAAATTTATACACACAAACAAAAAAGAACTAAGAGCCTGAAATTGGTAAAGGAAATTAAGTTTATTTACAGTTTGACCAAACCAGGAAGAGAGACTCCTAGTTTCTCTCCACTTCCTCCGCAGCAGCATTACAGCTCTATAGGAAAGATGAAATAAATAAGTCAGGAAATATGCAATGTGGAGTTGTCAGAGCCCTGTGGAATGTCTTCCTGGGAAACAAGTTCCTCTAGCTAGCTGGTGCCAGGACTTCAGTCTTTCCCTTCCCCCAGCATGGGATTCCTGGGGAAATTTTAATTATCTGGAGTCCATTGTTTCAATAGCCTGATAGCCAAAGGGGAGGGCATAAGTGTCTCCTTCTGACCAGCTCCTCTCCTGCCATAGCTGGGACAGCACCACAACGGGCTGGACTAGCAGCTGCCTGACGTTAGGATGAAGTCCTGCCCAGTTGTTCATCAGGACTACCTGGAGGGTTTATCTCCGTCCAGAACTTGCTTCTCTGGAGCTGATTGCCTAATCTTGGAGCCCAAGATCTCAAAACAAAGGCTGGAAAGCAAGCAATCAGTTTCCAAAGACTCAAATACCATAGGCTGGATGGCTTTTTTTTCTTTTTAAATTTGGGTGGGGACAACCTTTTGAAAATTTGAATGAAAAAGTCAGTCCTCTTAATTTAAATTCAAATTCTCTTTTCCTTGCTTAATGTCAAAGAAGATTTGAGACAGATGAAGCATTCATCCCCCCCCCCATGCTTTATCATGCTTTCAACCTGTTTTGAAGATGGTGACGGTGTCAAGACCTGCAGCTCAGTGGATTCCTTACAAGGCCACCATGCACCTTGGAAACCATACAAAAACAAAGACATCATTAAGAAGTCTTTTCTACTGGTGTAAAAAGTGTGAACTGCTCACCCAGAACTTGGGTCTCTTTGTAGTTTACCCGTGTCCCTTTTAAGACTTGAAAAGCTGCTTTTATCTAGTGTAAGCCTCATCCACTGGAGCCCAGGGACAGGATCTTGAGCCCTCATTGAAGTGACAGCCATCCACCTGCAGAGCAGCAGTGCTTTTGGTCTTGGGCTTTGTGGTCAGGGATAACAGGATCACCCACAGGATCTGCCCACAGGGTGAATCCAGGAGAACTCAAAGGCCGTGTACTAATAGTCTGATGAAATTCTCCCTGCAGCAACTTGTGACAGGGCATGGGGATTTTCTCCAGTGTCATCACACCCCAGCAGGGGGGATGGTGTCCTCCAGGTGCAGGTGTTCTCAGCTGTCCTTTACCTGTTGTCTCCCCGTGTCACAGCCAGCCAAGAAAGCAGACGACAGGCTCATCTCTATTACGCTATTACCCGGGGAATTACCAAGTGGTTGCCTAGCAACTCCCGTAGAGCAATCAACACGGTCTCGGTTGTGGTAATATGGAGTGGTTGGCTTTCCTCTCAAGAACATTTGCATATTTCTCTTGGGTCTCTGGGAAAAAAAAATAGGTATGTCTCTCCCCAGCTCCGAAGCTATTTAAATGATCTTTGTCTTGCTTTTCCTTCGGCATTCACGCTAGGGTGGTTCATTATCACAATAATGACAACTATTTGCTCTGATTTTTAACACAACAAATGCTCCAATTCAATTCAATTCAGTAAATGCTTCCCATGTTCCACAAGGCACTCTACACACTATAAAGAATTCTGAGGATGAACAAGTGTGGCCCCTGTTCTTAGCCAACTCGAAATTTCGTGTAGATAGGTGGGGAGCACAGCATAATGGTAGAGCATTTACCCAGCACACACAAAACCCAGGGCGTGGTCCCCCGCCCCGGAGGTGGCGGGAAATAATGAATATAATTGCTTCCATCTTTGATATGTATAGAAATTACTTGTTTACATGTGTGAAACAAATGTGTATATGCGATAGAAAGGTATTTTTATTTAGGATAATTCCTTTGTGTTTGATCAAAGGATGGTTTTTTTTTCGCTTTTATAGATTCCTGCCTTTCTAACTTCCAGCTGCAATCAGTTCAAAAAGCTGTAATCAGTTCAAAATCACTTTTAAGACCCAGCTCCTATTGGAATCTAAATAATTAGCAGCTCTTAAAAGGCTCTTGTAGGAACGTGTCGCAGCCGCTGTCTGATAGGCTGGCGCAGCCCAGCACCAGCCTGTACTGCAGTCTTTCAGCGTAATTGCTGCTGCGGTGCTCAGAGCCCGCACCTCTATTTTACACATTGAAGTTTAAAGGAGCCTCTTCCCTACCTTTCTTTGTCTGCTTTGGAGCAATGTGACTGCCTCTTTGATCCTTTCTAACTCAGACCGACAGGGAGAAACAGAGGGAGGGCTGTACGCCATCATCAACGAGGTGGCGACCCAGGAGTCCACCATCTGCATCCATGCCCCTTGGGCAACCAGAGATCAACCAGGGATGCAGAAATCTGCCATGAAGGGATGGGGACCTTGATACCATGCCCAGAGAGTCTGTCTGGACCAAAGGAGTAAAGAATGACTCAGATTGAATCCGTGTGCTCTTCTGGAAAATATAAGGGTTTGCAAAGCAAGTCTACCAACTGTCAATGAGAAGATAACTAAAGGCTTAGTGTCAAAGTTAGGAAAAGAGCCTGAGGCTGGAGAGACGGCTAAGAGGTTAGGAACACTTGCTGATCCTGCAGAGGACCTGGATTCGCTCCCCAGCACCCACATCTCCCTCAAAAACAAAAACAAAAAGCAATGGTAATGGCTCCTGCTGTCGAGCTGACAGCCTCAGTTCCATCCCCTGAACCAATCTCAGGATACACGGGGGGGGGGGGGGGGGGGGGGGGGGGGGGGGGGGGGGGGGGGGGGGGGGGGGGGGCAGAAAATCAAAGCACAGAGTCGTCCTTTAACCTCCACTGCGTGCTATGGCATGTTGCCCATCCCCCAAGACAAGTAAATAAACTAAAAAAAAAATGTTGAAGTGGACCTGGGACAGACACTCTGCTGCCCTTTGATGCCGGCAACCCCTTCACGGCTGTAATCTATATCCCGTATCCACCATTTATTCAGTGCGTCTTCTCCTTCTTCAGCTGAAATAGCAAAAATTTTGCCTCAGAAGCCTATATCCAATCCTATCTGATTCATTGTCCCTAACACAGAACAAAAACCTATTTTCTTTCCATTCAGAAGCTCTGCAGCTAGACTTTCTCTAGTTGCTGCTGTGGGGACAGAGAGATCCCTCGTGTTTTTAACTAAAGAGCCCTCCAAGAAGTGGGGGGATGGGCAATCAACTAGTGGGGGGGATGGACTGCCCCGATGCTGTTCTGTAAGTTTTATCTATTTACTTTTAAAATTATTTTTATTTTATTCTTTTTTTTTAACCTATGCACCGTGTGAGTGTGTGTGCCCGGCGCCCTGGAAGGTCAGAAGAGGGTATAGGATCCCCTGGATCTGGAGTTGCAGGTGGTTGAGAGTGGTCACGCAGGTGCTGGGAATCAAACCCAGTCCCCTGGAAGAGAAGCCTGTGCTCTTAACTACTGACTCATCTCTCTAGTCCCTATTTATTTATTCTAAGTTTATATTTTGAGATAGGGTCTTATGTAATCCACCACACTGGCCCTAAACTCCCTCTCTAGCTGAAGTTGACCTTGAACATCTGTCTGATCCTCCTGGAATGCCTGTGGTGCTGGAGAGCAAACCCAGGGCTTCCAGAACTCAAGACCTGTGCTCTACCCTCTATACTCCAAGCCCCTTTTGGTTTCAGGGTTAGGTTGAATGAACCCAAGGCCTTCTTTGTAGCCTTGTGCAAGTGACAAGTATGCACATTACCAGGGAGCCCATGGCATTTTTCATGGTGTCATTGCTAAAGACAGAATTTTATTATGACCCGCCTATAGAAGAAAGAAGGCCTGGTATCTTAGAATGCCGAACTTCAACATCCCGTTTGTACCCCTCTGTGTCCCAGCCTACACATTATTAGCCTCTCTGGAAGGTCTCCTTGTCATGCTGTTTCTGGAAAGCTCTCAAGGGCTCAGGAGCAAACCAACTATGTTCTTCTACTTCAGCTTCTCCGCTGGTGACCTGACATTTGTAAACCCTGTAAAAAGGAACGCCTTTGTAAGAACATCGTCTCTCTGCTGGGAACAAATATTCTCTCCCCTCTCTGCTAAGGCCACCGTAGGTCAGCAAGTTGCCAGAGAGGAAGGCAGGAAGAGGCAAGGACCCTCTCACTGAGTGTGTACATTTTCTTTTCTTAGAATATTATCATCTTATTTCTTTGTGTATTTATTTAGAGAAAGGGTCTTTCTAAGTCATCCTAGCTGTCCTGGAACTCCCTATATCGACCAGGCTGGACTGGAATTCACGGAGATTCTCCTGCCTCTGCCTTCCATGTGCTCGACTCAAAGGGATATACTACCCTTTTACACACTGTAGTGTACTCCTTAATTAGTTGGACCTCACACACACTGGTGGTGTACTTTCTTAACTAGTTAGACTTGATGAACTTAATCCCAGCACTCAGAAGGTAGACAGGCAGATCTCTGTGAGTTTGAGGTCAGCCTGGTCTACATAACAAGTTCCAGGCCATCTAGGCCTGCATAGTGAGACCCTGCCTCAAAAGGCCCAAAAGAAACAAAGCAGGGCTGAAGAGATGGCTCAGTGGTTAAATGCATTGCCTGCTCTTCCAAAGGTACTGAGTTCAATTCCCAGCAACCACATGGTGGTCCACAACCATCTGTAATGAGGTCTGCTGCCCTCTTCTGGTCTGCAGACACACACAGACAGAATATTGTATACATAATAAATAATTCTTTTTTAAAAGAAACAAAGCAAAACTGCTTGTGCTGTGGGACAATGGTCTGTACCCTGTCACTTGTATTTTAAACAAACGCTGATTGGCCAGTAGCCAAGCAGGAAGTATAGGCGGGGCAACGAGAATTCTGGGAAGAGGGAAGTTTCAGTCTGCAGTCCTCACACAGAGGAAGCCAGACACAGAGCAAGCAAGATGCGACTGCCTCGCTGAAAACGGTACCAAGCCACGTGGCTAACACAGACAAGAATTATGGGCTAATATAAGTTATAAGAGTTAATAAGAAGTGTGAACTAATATGCCAATCAGTTTATAATTAACATAGAGCTCTGTGTGATTGAACGACTGCCTGAAGGGGCAGGATTGGGTGGGACAGAAACCTCTGTCTCTGTCTACATGCTAGTGATTTTACTTGCTCAAAATCTTACACAGTTCCCCTCCTTTTCTCACTCCAGCTTTTCCCTTACTGGGGCTAGAAGCGAGCTGTGCAGGCTAGGATGGAGGGTGGTGGACAGGTGATTAATTCCTCCCGTTGCTCTTCTCTTCTTCCCAGGGAACCTAGCACTTAAACAACTCCAATAAAACTCAAACCTTTCCTCTACCCACAAAAAAGGAGCAAGAGTAAGCCAGTCAGTACAAATGATTGCTACTATTTAGACCAGTTGAGAAGGCTGGTGACATTCTGGAAATCCCATTCCAGCATCCATAAAACCTAGGCATGTTAGAGGTTCCTTGTATAACTTTAAGATGGGACCCGAGAAACTTCTCAGTGCTTAAGAGCACTTACTAGTCATTCAGAGGACATGAGTTCAGAACCCAGGTCCCACGTAGGGAAGTTCACAAATGTCTGTAATTCCACCTCTGTAGGATCTGGCCTCCAAGAGTGCCCGCATGCACGTGACATACATTCCTACAGACATATACATACATAAACACAAGCTCATGAATAAACAAATGCTAAAAATAAAGTTTTTTTTTTTTTTTAAGCTTTAAATGGAGGGTTGGAGAGATGGCTCAGCAGTTAAGAGTACTGGTTGTTATTCCAGAGAAATTAAATCTGGTTCTTCGTACCCATATGGCGACTCGTGACTTTTTTGTAACTCCAAACCTAGGGGATCCAATCAAGGGCAATGCATGTACGTAGTAAACAGTCATACATGTAGTAAGAATAACCATACACAGAAAAAAATAGGAATAAAGGTTAAGGACTGGAGAGTTGGCTCAGAGGTTAAGAGGACTGGCTGTTATTCTTGAAGTCTTGAGTTCAAGTTCCAGCAGCCACATGGTAGCTCACAACCATCTGTAATGAGATCTGGCGCTCTCTTCTGGCCTGCAGGGATACATGCAGGCAGAATACTACATATGTAATAAATGAATCTTTAAATTAAACATTTATTTTAACTTAAAGACGATGTGGCCATTTGTGGTGGTGCACGCCAGTAGGATTTGCTGAAGGAGGCAGAGGCAGGAGGATCACGAGTTCGAGGCCAGCCTGGGTTACACATTTTTATAAAAAAAAAAAACAAAAAAAAAAGACGATGTCAAGTGTTAGTTTAACTTAAAGATGATGTGTTAGGCATAGAGGTGACATCCCAGCACTCAGGAGGATGAGAAGCTCAAGGCCAGCCTCTGCTATATGAGACATTGTCTAACAACAACCTATGTGAAGTATACAACCCCACTCCTTTGTTTTGTTTTTCTTTGCTTTGCTTTGCTGGTTTTTGTTGTTGTTTTGTTTCTCAAGACAGGGTTTCTCTGTGTAGCTCTTGGTGTCCTGGAACTTGCTCTGTAGACCAGGCTGGCCTTGAACTCGTGATCCGCCTGCCTCTGCTGGAATCAAAGGCAGGTGCCACCCCCATCGCCACCCCACTCTTCAGTGCTCCTCTTGGAAGGTGGACCTCATGAAACTCAGTTGGTAGAGTACTTGCCTGGCCTGTGGGAAGCTCTAGGTTTGGTCCCAGTACCAGCATAGAACTGGATATGACAGCCCGCTCCTATAATCCCAACACCCGAAGGGAGAGGCGGGAGGACCAGAAGTTAAATTATCCTCAGCTACAGCTATAGAGCGATGTCAAGGTCAGTTTAGAATACGTGAAACCCTGCCTCAAAACAAAATTTTAAAATAGTGGTGATAATTTAAAACAAAGAGGTTTTCTAATAGACATTAGGGTAGGGAAGAGCCACTTCACGGGGACCCCGAGAGGTCGAGAGGTGCTTTCCCATGAGCATGGCGGTGGTGGAGCTCCAAGTGTAATGCCACCCTCCTGTTGTTCTTGTGCCGCAAGAATTTTCTCCGTAGAAACACCCACTCCCAGCCCCAGAAAAGAAGCCAACACAAAGCCAGCTATTTCTATCCCGAAAACACAAACGACAAAGAAAGAAATGTTATCGCCCTGAAAGCAACTGTCAGAGTGTGACGGACCACGCACGCGAGTACGCTAGACGGCAGGCAAGGTGGGCAGGAGCTACGTCCGATGGCAGGAGACTATCAGGCCTGCTTCCTACAAGCTGGGCTCCTGTTATGACAGCCTCTATCCGCCGTGGCAAAACACCTGAAGTAAAGAGAGGAAAGGGTGCGGTGACAGGTGGTTTTAATTCTTTTTTCTTTGTTTTCAAGACAGGGTTTCTCTGTGTAGTCCTGGACCTCCCTCTGTAGACCAGACTATGTTCTTTTTTTTTTTTTTTTTTTTTTTTTTTTTTTTTTTTTTTTTTTTTTTTTTGGTTTTTCGAGACAGGGTTTCTCTGTGGCTTTGGAACCTGTCCTGGAACTAGCTCTGTAGACCAGGCTGGTCTCGAACTCACAGAGATCCGCCTGCCTGTGCCTCCAGTGTGCTGGGATTAAAGGCGTGCGCCACCATCGCCCGGCCCAGACTATGTTCTTATACAAAACAAAGAAACAAACAAAGACAAGAATAGTGGCACACACTTTTAACACCAGAACTCTTGAGTCACTGTGAGTTCAAGGCCAGCCTGAGCTACCTACAAAGAGAGACCCTGTCTCAAAAAAAAAAAAAGGAAGAAAAAATGTGAAATGGGCTACCCTGAGAAACAGTTCAAAACAGTTCAATTCCCAGAACCCACATTAAAAAAAAAGTTAGATAGCCTAGAATGCTCACAGGTTCAGAAGCAAGAAACAAGAGAGGTCCAGCTTCAGTGAGGTAGAAGGCAAGACCCACCTCCTGAGAGTTGTCCTCTGACTTCTACACATACTCACACACATGCACACACACACGCACACACATATCATATATACCCACCATATACATACACACACACATACCATACATCATACACACAAATAATTTTATTAGATAAAACTGAGAGATGGCTCAACAGTGAAAAGTGCATGCTGCTTTTGCCAAGGGTCCAGTTTCGGGTCACAGAACCCTTACCGCACTCAGCACCACACAGCCTGACTCTCCCAGGCCACCTTTCGTCTTGGAATCATTACTATGCAACCTCTAACAATATCATCCTTCCTAGCAGGACCTTAGGTGATAGAACACTTTAAAAAGTATGTCACTAAAAGTCTTGGGGTCACCCCCCCCACACACACACACACAAGCTGCAGACGTACTTCAAGTTTTGTTCTGGTACCTTCTTGATCTTACTAGAAGGATCCAACATGTTTGGGACGTGACAAACACTAAAACCACGCAAGCCCTAACACAGAGAGAGAGAGAGAGCTCCCTCTAAGCCCCAAACCCATTCTCTATTGGAATAAACATTATCACAACCAAAGAGCTCAGCCTATCATCCTAAATGGTTATGACTTCAGCGTTAAAAAAATATTTCCTGGCATAACTGGTTTCCAAACCTAGCAGCCAAGGCAGCCCTAGCCTAGGCAGCCTAGCTCTAGACTGGGTAACGATTAACATTAGAGGAGTAGGTGGATTGGTGCCTTTCTCTCCTCTAAGTACTGGTTTTGAGAAAAAGATTTTGATGCTACCTTGTATGGTCCCATTATCTGCCTCTTCCCATTCAGAACTCTCTGCCTTTGCTATTACTTTTTTTTTTTTTTTTTTTTTTTAAGGTCTTGTGTACCTCTAAGCAGCTGAGGTTGGCCCTCAATGACTCATCCTCTTGCCTCTGCCTCCTCCCAAGGGTTGAACCACAGTACATGGTTTCGGTTTTTGGGTTTTGTTTTTGTTTTCTACGGATTGAACCAAGGATCTCATGCACGTCATTTAAGTGCTCTTCCAGCTCAGCTGTAACCCCGGCTCCTTTTGCTCTTTGTGTACAGCGTGTGTGCCTGGCCATCTGGCAACCCCTTGTTCACCCATTCACGTGTTCTCTGCTGGCTTTGTTTATGGTTTTCCTGGCTGGGTGCGGGGGAAGCGGTATAAGCTCCCACGTCCCTCAGGCTGGCCATGTGGGCGCTCACCCTCCCCTTCGGGCCCCTCTCATCTCCTTTATTCCACATATTTGACACATGAGGCAGTTTCCGCTTGCAAAGCACAGCCAGTCCCCTGATTGATTCCAGCACCGGGAATGCCCAGGACAGAGGCAATAAAGTGTGTGACTGGCGAGGACTTCTCACTGAATATCTGAAGGACAGGGTGGCCCCAGATGGAAGATGTGTCTCTGAATGGACTGGAACGTGGGGGCTCTTTAGCAATGAAAATGGACCAGACTGTGACCTGAAAAGCCATGAGACAGACCTGTGTGGAAAACAACCCAACAACTCCCTCTCCGCCTGGGAGAAGAAACTAGCAAACGGCTTTTAGTTCAAACCCGAAGTGCTTTGGTACATTGTTACTTGTTCAACATCCCTCTTTCAGCATTAGCTTTGGCCAAAGAAAGTCTGTTATGGTTTAAGTAAAATGCTGCAGGTCCCCGAGTGACCGCAGTGGGCAGCGGGCCATGAGACCATGCCACAGGTCCCTGAGTGGCAGCAGGCAGTGGGTCCAAGACCACGGTGGGCCATGAAGGCAGCCGGGTCCCAGGCAGGAAGCCACGTGGTGGGTGAGAGAGATGGATAGGCATGCCATGCAGAGTGAAGCTGGATATGTATTTAGTGGGTTATGGAAGGGAAGGGGAGAAGGGGGAAGAGCAGAGAGATAGAAACAGAGAGGGGGAAGGGAAGAAGTGGGGAGAAGGGAGAGACAGAAGCTGCCTCTTAGAGAAAGAGAGAGGCGGGGGAGGGAGGAAAAAGAAGAGACTAAGGCTGGAAGCTGAAGATTAGCTTGCCTCTGCAGATGGGGGAGGGGGTAGGGGGTGGGGCGTGGCTTGTCTCTTAAAGGGACAGGACAAACCATTAAAAAGTCTCTGGACTGCATGTGGGCTCTCTATTAAAAGGACGTAGAGGGCTGGAGAGGTGGCTCAGAGGTTAAGAGCACTGACTGTTCTTCCAAAGGTCCTGAGTTCAATTCCCAGCAACCACATGGTGGCTCACAACCATCCGTACGGAGATCTGGTGCCCTGCTCTGGCGTGCGGCATACATCGAGGCAGAATGTTGTATACATAATAAATAAATAAATCTTAAAAAAAAATAAATAAAAGGACGTAGAGTAGAACACACCACTTTTGCAGGAAATACAATGGCCGGGATATAGACAAAGCCTTGGTAACGACCAATGTTATGAAACACAGGCACAGAAAGACCTAAATAGGACCTTGGTGTGGTTCTCCTAAAGGAACAATTGCTGTGAGATACTTGATTACACTATGCAGAGATGTGTCACTGTGATTGGTTTAATCAAGAGCTAAGCAGCCAATAGATAGGCAGGGAAAATAGGTGGGACTTCCAGGCAAAGAGAGGAACTGGGGATGAATCTAGGCACACAGAGGAGAACCAGGAGAGGCAGAATAAGTTGGAGGTGCAGAATGAAAGAAAGGTAAAAAGCCACGTGGTAGAACAACGATTTAAAAACATGGATCAATTTCTGATATGAGAACTGGTTAGGAATAAGCCTAAGCTATAGGCCAAGCTTTCCTAATTAATAAGAAGTCTCCATGTCATTATTTGGGAGCTGGCTGGTGGGGCAGAGAAAGACTCCTTATGAACAATAGCATGTACAAGGGTATTTAGCTAACAAGGAGAAGAGTTGCTATTGTTTTCATTGTAGGAGCGATGAAATGACCAAAATATGGATTCTGGATTGAAATAGAAAGAAATAGTATCAGGCCACTAGGAAGAATCTTCTTATGCATTTACTGTATCATAAACTAATAAATATGTGCACAGTTCTTCTCTACCCAGTATTCTAAATTTAATTGATAAATAAATTACTATTCCTCACAAGGACCTGTACATTTTATATGTTAATTTTAAATTAATTTATTTATACAAAGAGGAGATTTTTCCATCAAGTCATTTTTAAAAAAAGAATCTTGGACTTGGTACACCAGAATGTGGCCTCTGATGACCTCTGTCTGGCCAATGGTGCCGCACCTCCAAAAAGAATGAGAGGGAAAGTTGGATTTTCAGAATGGATGAAACATACTAACTTAGTGGTTTCTGAAAAGCCTTTCTCACTAGAGGCTGGCAGAAGGTTCTGTTCCATGTGGTCATTCAGAAAACCAGATTTTGTTTTGTTTTGTTTTTGTTTTGTATCTTCTTCTAGGATATATTTCATTTGTATGCCCAAAACTGGGTCTCAGGCAAATTCCCATTCTGATTCAAGGAAAAGATAAAGCAGTCTGGATTAGGCAAACCACTATCTTAAACCGTAGGACTAGAGACAGAAGGTGTGGTGACACGTGCCTTCCTGAGTTCAAGGCCAGCCTGGTCTACAGAGTGGGTTCCAGGACAGCCATGGCTACACAGAGAAACCCTGCCTTGAAAACAAACAAACAAGCACACCCCCCCCCCCCAAGCCTTCTCTTTTGCTCATACAGTGTAATGAAGTTACATGGTCACATCTCTGGCAAGGAGGCCAGAGACCCCTATCCTCTGAAGGACAACTACTGACCCCACTATAAATACGCACCTGCAGGGGCTGGAGAGATGGCTCATGGGTAAAAAGCACTGGCTGCTCTCCCAGAGAACCTGGTTTCAATCCCCTGCACCCACAGGACAGCTCACAACCAACTGAAACTGTAGCCCCAGGGGATTTGTTCTTCTGGCCTGTGCAGGAACCAGGAATGCCTGCAGTGCACAGACCTTCAGGCAGGCAAAACACTCATACACATAAACATAAATAAAATTATATATGTATACATATATAATGTATATGTGTGTCTTGTGTGTCTGTATGTACACACACGTGTACATGGTGGCCAGAGGGCCACCTCCCTATCACTTCTTCTTCAGCACACATATACCTGTTTTTTTGAGACGAAGTCTCCTTCTGGGACCTGGAGAGCCTGATTAGACTAGGCTGCAGTGGACCCCAAATGCCCCCGTCTCTCCCTCTCTATCCCTGAGAGCACATACCCAGCTTCATTTCCCCCCTCCCCCCCATGGATTCTGAGACTCCAAGTCAAGTCCGCCTGTGGGCAAGACAAGACAGAGCTATCTGTTGCTCCAGCCTCCCCCCCTCCTCTTTGTTTGTTTGCTTGGTTTGTTTGTTGGCTGAGGCTCACGCCTAACCCAGGCTAGCTTGGAATTTACTGTGCAACCAACAACGACCTTGAACACTTGGTTCTTCTGCCTCCACCTCCTCCTGCGTGTTGGGATTTCCAGGAACCATTGCACCCAGTTTCTGTAATACCGAGAGGATCAGACAGGGCTTTTACTAGGCAGGCACAGGCACTCAACCAGCCCACTACATTCCCAGCTCTAAAGCCTGGAATTCACTCTGTAGACCAGGCTGGCCTCGATAAAGCCTGTCTCTTTAAGAACAGAGTTTGTCCTCAGCTTGGTGTTGGTGCGAGGACAGTGAGGAGGGGAAGACTAAGAGCCAGCCAATTGCTTTCCAACAGCTAACCAGACTTTTAAAGGACTCATCAGATCACAGCTCTATTACCCTGGGGACATTTGCATTGGAAGAACTGTCCCCACATTCCCTCCTGCCTCCACCCCCCCACCCCCCACCCCCATCTAGTTGACTTGCTCTGAGCTTTCCAGAAAAAGAGCTTTTGTTCCCAGGCAGAGGAGCTTCTTGTCCTCCGGCCAGGGCCCAGCTTCTCCGCTCCCTCCCTCTCCCCGGGTGAAGTCAGGCCAAGGCTGGGTGAAGAGTTCGCAGGGTGTGGGCGTTCTGCGCTGGAACAAGGAGTCCTCTCTCTGTTGTTATACTCCGTGTCATTTCCAGACAGATAGGAAGTAAAAGATAGTAAACACTATTCGGCTCTAGACAGCAGCTGAGAAAGGCTGAGGAACCTCGCATGGAGGTCCCGCAGGTAGGAAATGGGAGGTTCAGGTTTACTGGACAAAGCCTGAGTCTGTGAAACCAGGCCCCATCTCCCCCACATCCCCACCACCACCGTGGCCTGGGACATGACCCAAGGCAACCCCATTGTTTCAGCTCCCCCAGTCGGTGCCAACTGTTGTCTTCCCCTGCCCATGCTTTGGTAAACTCCTTTCAGACCCTAAAATCTACTGTCCCTCAGGAGTTAGAGTGTCCAGGCAAAGACAGTTAAGTGATGCATTCGTCATCCTTCAAAGATAAATCCTCCCCTGCCCCTGTTGAGGCATGGAGCTGGGGGCCACGGGTCTCTAGGATGCAGACATGAAAATCTTTGTCATGAACATCCCTATTTTGTCATGAACACCCCCACTTCAGTTGCTAGTGGCTTTATGGGTCTAAGGTAGGAGAGGAAGAGGAAGAAAAACAACTAGGAAATGGGGACACAGGGCTGTCCTCCCTGGGTGTGGAAGATAATGAACTCTCTTCCCTAGGAGATCCCTGAGCTCTGCAGAACCTTCTATGTGGTTCTCCCCTGAACATCTTTTATTTGCTCTTCCATACACATCAGGAGTCTGGGACTCCACCTAAAGCCAGCATCCCTCCCAACTTCTTCCTGCTGAGACCCCATTGCTCCTCCAGGAGGCCCTGTAAGAGTCTGAAAAGATACCACAGTGGCCCGCTCACCCACGCTCTTCAGAAAGCCTGTGGGAAACACTCACAGGGCCCCTGGGCCAGACCCAAGGAGGCCCACTCCAGGAACAGACCCATGGGAGTCTGGGCTCTTAATGGCGCTGTGGATGAGGGCTCTGGGACTGCAAAGCTCTCGGGTGCACAGCTTTCAGAACACCTCTGGCTTTTCCTTTCTTGCTGCTTTTGTCGCCGCGCTGAAACACCACAACCCACGCAACTTATAAAAGTCTTAGTTTGGGGCTTTTGGTTTTATAATGTTAGAGTCCATGGCCACCATGCTGAGGAGAATGGCAGCAGGCAGACAGGCATAGTGTAGGAGCAATGGCTGAGAGCTCACGTCTCGAGACACAACCAATCACAAGGCAGAGAAAGAGAGAGCTACCAGGGAATGGCACGCAGATCCCTATGAGTTAGAGGCCAGGCTGGTCTACAAGAGCTAGATCCAGGACAGGCTCCAAAAACTACAGAGAAACCCCGTCTCGAAAAAAACAAAACCTGATGCCTACCTCCACTCACACATCTTTCCCAACAACACCACACCTCCCAATCTCTCTGAAATAGTTTCATTGTCTGGAGACCAGGTATTCAAACCTATGACCCTATGGAGGCCATTCACGTTCAAACCCCCACGGCTCCCATCCCCCACACTCCCCCGAGTATTGGTTTTTGTTTCTTGTATTTTGTTTTATTTTGAGCCAGTACTCACTGTGCAGTCCGGGCTGGCCTGACATTCTCTGTGGAGACCAGGTCGACCTGAACTTCCAGAGGTCGGCCTGCCTCTGCCCCTCAAGTTCGGGGAAAGGTGCTAGCCACCGCCCTGCTTTTTCTTTCTTTCGCTTTCTTTTAACTACACTTTTATTTATTTGGGGAGAGATGTGCACACACTGAGCATGTGGAGGTCAGAGGACAGTTTGGAGGCGTCAGTTCTCTCCTGTGTCGTGGGTCATGAAGAACAAACACGGGCCATTATCCCTGGAAGCCAGAATCCTTAGCTGCTGAGCCGGCTCAATGCACGGTCCCCTTCTATGTGTGCGTGGGTACCTCTGTGTTTGTGTTCGTGTGTATGTAGATGTGTTTGTGCGTGAGAGTGCACTCTACCCTTAGGTCTCATCTGAAAGAATAATTTCTACCTTGTTTTTGTTTTCTTTTTTGAATCAGGGTTTCTCTGTGTAGCCCTGGCCCTCCTGGATCTTGCTCTGTAGACCAAGCTGGCCTCAAATCTACCTTGTTTTTTGAGACAGGGTCTTCCGATGGGACCCAGGTTCAACAGTTAGATTAAGCTGGTTGGCAAACAAGCCCCAGGAATCTCCACCTCCCTAGGACTGTGACTACAATGCATGCCACCTTGCTTCTTTGCTATAATATTTATACCCTGGAGAACAAACTCAGGTCCTCCTACTTACTGACTGAGCTGTCTCCCCAGCCCCCACCCTGTGGTTTTGAGACTGGGTCTCTTACTGGCCAGTGAACCCCCGTGATCCACCCCCTCAGGACATGATTACAAATACAGCCCCACACCTGGCTTTTCCATGTGGGCTCAGGCAATTGAGCTTGGTTCTCATGCTTGTGAGGAAAGTACTTTAATGAACTAAACGGTCTCCCCAGCTCTCCTCTTCACTTCCTTGAGAGTTGAGGTCCCCACGTGCTGTGGTGCTGGCCAATGACTGGAATTCTTATTAGGCAAGAGAGACACACAGGAAGAAAAAAAAAAAACGGACTCAGAGGAGATCATGCGCAAGTCAGGGCAGAGATGGGAGTCACACAGCCACAAATGGACATCTGGGTTACCAGAAACAGCAAGGAAGCTTCTCTCCTGTTTTCCTCATGGGGACTGTGACCCTCCTGAGGGCTTGGCTTCAGAACTCTGGCCTCTAGAGTAATAAGACAGTCCATTCTCTGTTGGTTTACCGCTTCTTCTTCATGGTACTTTGGTCTGACGGCTCTATGAATCCGCTCTAACCATAGAGACGTTGTGGTTTCTCCCTCACTTGCTCTTCAATCACTCCTTCTAGGGGGGTGACTACCATGCCATGAGCCACTCGAGCAGTTCTGGGAGAGGACAGGAAGGGACGGCAGCTTCCTGCCAAGGCTAGCACCAGCTTGTCACTGTGAGCAGTCATCTAGAAGAAGGTCATCCAGTCCTAGACAAGCGTTCAGGTGACATTTTCCCGGTAGTCCCAGGAGAAGTCCTGAAACAGAACAAACACCCCCCCCCACGACATTCCCTGGGTCCTGGCTGACAGAACCCATGAGACAATACAGGATTATGACTGCGTTTAACCTTTGTTACTGTCTGTTGTATTTGAGACAGGGTCTCACTGCAGTTCTGGCTGGCCTGGAACTTGCTGTGTAGACTAGGCTGACCAGGAACTCACAGAGATCTGCCTGCCTCTGTGGCCTTCCAAGTGCTCACCTGGCTTTAACTGCAATTAAATCTTGAGGTGACAAGTTAATATATAACTAATCTGTGACCATAGGTACGGAATCTGTGACACTGGGACCTCAGCCCAGCCTTTATCATCTCTTTTAGAGCCCAGAGTCCAGCACCATTCTCTCTGGACTAGTTTTCCACGTTGGATCCCACAGCTGCAGTACTTAGTGGCCTACCTGGTCATTCACCAGTGTGTACCTTTTGATATATGTACCTCATAGGCTTAAGGGACATACATCCTACAGGTTTATGGGTTTAAAAACTTAGTCATAGGGGGCTGGAGAGATGGCTCAGTGGTTAAGAGCATTGCCTGCTCTTCCAAAGGTCCTGAGTTCAATTCCCGGCAACCACATGGTGGCTCACAACCATCTGTAATGAGGTCTGGTGCCCTCTTCTGGCCTGCAGACATACACACAGACAGAATATTGTATACATAATAAATAAATAAATATTTAAAAAAAAATAAAAAATAAAAACTTAGTCATCAAACACAGGGTGAAAAAGGGGGGAGGAGAGTTATGGAATCTTTAGAATGTAGAACCTACCCAGAAGGAAGTGGGTCACTGGAAGGCAGGCCTTAGAGGTTATAGCTCAGACCTACATCCAGCCAGCCTTCTTTTTAAATATATAATTTATTTTTATTTTCTGTGCATTGGTGTTTTGCCTGAACGTATGTCTGTGTGAGGGTGTCAGGGTCCCTGGAAGTGGAGTTACAGGCAGTTGTGAGCCACTGTGTAGTGTTGTTGTTGTTTGTATTTTACTCTTTTGCAGAACCCACCACACAGCTCCCAAATAAACACACACAGAGCCTTACTATTACTCATAAACGCCCAGCCTCAGCTTGACTTGTTTCTTGTCAGCTTTTTGTTTTGCTTTGGTTTGGTTTGGTTTGGGTTTTTCAAGACAGACTTTCTCTGAGTAGCCCTGGCTGTCCTGGAACTTGCTCTGCAGACCAGGCTGGTCTTGATCTCAGAGATCTACCTGCTTTTCCCTCCCAAGTGCTGGGATTAAAGGTATGCACAGCCACACTCGGTAGTTTCTTCTTTTTAAAAAAATTAAGTGAATGGGCATTTTGCCTGCAAGTCCTGCTATACCACACATGTGTGCAGTGCCCCTGGAGGCCAGAAGAGGGCAAAAGATTCCTTGGACTCAGAGTTACAGAAGATTTGTAGCCAACATGTTGATGCTGAGAATTAATCCCACAATTTGCACAATGGTTGAGCAATCTCTACAGCTCCCCTTAAGTTGTTTCTTATTTGTTATTTAGTCAGGACAACTTGAAAAGTAACGAATAATATAGATTTCAAATACCAGATGCTGCTGTCTTAGAGGATAGACAATGTGTTCATGACCAATGCCAATCATGGCCATACCTTTGCCAGTAGACAGAGATGGGCAAGAAGATGGCATTGCCTTTTGTGGAGGTAGGAAGAAAAACACCAAGGCATTCACAGAAGATGCTTATGACCACGTGACCTCAGAGAGGCAGGAAGAAAATCCAAGCTGGAACTAGCATCTAGACACCCCACTTCTGATCTTCAAGCTGTGCTTCCTTAACTACACAGAGGATGGTTCTTAGTACTGGGGGTCTCTCCAGACACTTCAAGGCTGCTGCGATACTGCTCTTTGGGTAATGGTTTCTATATGGAAAAAGATAGGGCTCAAAATACTAAAGTCTTGTTTCTGCTTTGCCAACCTGCCTAAATAACTCCTTCAGAGATATCTAGAACCAGAAAACCAGCAACTCCTTCCACAGCTCACAAGCCTCATCTCAAACAGGCTATCATGCACTGGTACCCAAAGCCTATCTTTCTTGTGTCAGGGCAGTGCTTCAAGAAGGTTGGGTGAGAACCTGTGACCTTCAGAAATCTGCCAGATGGCTCCTCTCCAGGTGGAACTGCACAAACTGCAGATAAACAAGGCCAGCACTTCCTGAATGCCACTCAGCAGTGAGTGACTTCTCCAGCTGCCGCAGCACCCCCAAGCTTAGAGTGCCTGGTGGACATTTACAGTCTGAGAAAGTGAGGCTCAGGAGTGAGACCCGGGTCACATGGCTAGCAATGGTGAGTAAAGGAGCAGGGACCCAGCCAGGCCTGTTCAACCCTAAAGCCTCTCCCATGTGGTGGGATAACCTTTGTACACTGTGAAGATGTGTCTTTGCCAAGGTGCCTTCTGATTGGCTTAATAAAAAGCTGACCGGCCAATAGCTAGGCAGGAGAGGATAGGCGGGACTTCCAGGCAGAGAGAGGAACAAGGAGGAGTGAGTCTAGTCACTGGCAGAGAATTAGTGAGATGATGCAGACAGCTAAGTCAGAGATACAGAATAGAGGAGAGGTTAAAAAAAAAGCCATGTATATTAACAAAAGCAGCTTAAGCTGAGTTATAAGAGCTAGTCAGGGACAAGCTGAAGCTAAAGAACAAGCTTTCATAATTACTAAGAAGTCTCTGTGTCGTTATTTGTGGGCTGGTGGTCCTGACAAAAAAGTACAACTACACTCTCCTGTGTGTCCACTTTCACTGCCAAAGAGAATCAACCATTCATCAGCACTCTGGGGAATCCAAACCAGTGTATACTGGCTGTCTTTATAGCCCTAGGCTAGCATCTAGTCGAGACCAGAACAGCTCATTTTCTCCCTCACACAAACACAATTGCCAGGGCTGCTATTCAGGCGAATCCCCCTGTTCTCCCTGACCTTCCATGACATTCAGGCACTCAGCATGCTCAGTCTAAGGACACAGGAGCCCTCAGGCAGAGCCTGCTCCTCTGGGTCAGGTGGAACAGGTGTTTTTCTTCTGAGAAATCACAGACTACATTGCAGAGGGGCCTCCTGCCTTCCATAGCACGGGGCTGCCTACAGCAGTCTCTCCCATTCTCCATAATGGCCCAGCAAGGGAGAAAGGGAGTCAGGAGCAGAATCAAGAAAGGGGAAAGAAAGGATGAAAAGCAAAGAGTCGGGGGTATGAGAAGAGGGAGATGTGGTGGGGGAAAGGAAAGGAAAGGAAAGGAAAGGAAAGGAAAGGAAAGGAAAGGAAAGGAAAGGAAAGGAGGAGAGGGGAGGGGAAGGAAAGAAAGGGAAGGGAAGAGAAGAGAAAGGAAGGGAAGAGAAAGGAAGGGAAGAGAAGGGAAGGAAAGAGAAGAGGAGAGGAGAGGAGAGGAGAGGAGAGAAGAGAAGAGAAGAGAAGAGAAGAGAAGAGAAGAGAAAAAAAAGGCTAGAGATGGGTTAGTTGTTGAAAGCCCTGGCTGGTTAAGAGAACTGGCTGCTCTTCTAGAGGTCCTGAGTTCAATTCCCAGCAATCACATCGTGGCTTACAACCATCTCTAATGAGATCTGGTGCCCTCTTCTGGTAGGCAGAACACTGTGTACATAATAAATAACTAAATAAATCTTTTAAAAAAGAGAGAGAGAGACCCAGGCTCAATTTCCAATGCCCACATGATGGCTCAGAGCCATCTCCAGCTCCAGTCCCAAGTGATCTTTCTGGCCTCTGTGGACACCAAGCAGGTATATGCTACACACACACACACACACACACACACACACACACACACACACCATCTACACACATGTAGTAGTATTTTTAAAGGGGGCAAAAGGGCAGGAAGGAACTCAAGCGCCTGCCATCCCAGCACACAGGAGACAGAAGAATTGTGATCTTGAGTCCCGAGCCAGCCTGAGTTGCATGGTAGAACTCTGACTCCGAAGAAAACAAAGAAAATGGAGCCTGACGCCAGCTGCTCCGGTCTGAAACCTAGCTTCCCCTCCCGGACATAGCCCAAATTCTGCATCAGAAAACTGGGGACATGAATAAGTACCTCCCTGGGCTGTTGGGAATGTGAGATGAGGTGGTGCCTGCGAGAATCATAGCAAGAGTAAACAGCCTGTTAAATTTTTATTAACGTCGTGATTACCATCACTCACTATACTAGACTCTTCTATCGGACTGGTATTTGAAAATTTAAACAAAACAGGTGTCTAGCTGAAGGCTGACGACAGGGAGATCTGGCTGGGAGACTGTCTTCTGATTTGGGAGTTTCTCTGCCAGCTCCAAGACAGCTCCCCACGTAAGATGATGAGTGTGATTAATTGCAATCAGCTCCTCTCCCCTTAATGAAGGAAGCTGGATGTCACCCTGAGGCGTCTGTGTAAGCTGAGGCAGTTACCCACTGTGTCCACGTGATGTCGCTATCGATCACACTTGGATTTCTGCAGCCAGGCTGGTTTATACTGGGTCACTGGAATTTAGCACCAGACTCCCAGATAAAGCAGAAATGTTGGCAGGCAGCTAGAGATTCTTCAACCACACCCTTTGGAACCTGTTTTTACACTACACTGTGTGGGCAGAAGGGGTGGGGGTGGGGAGAAGTGATTTGGTCAAGATGATTGGGCACAAAACTGGAAGAACGCCATGGTCTCCTGTCTCCCCAGTAAGTGTACCAACCCCATCTGTGTGTAAGAAGCCTTGGGTTGATATGGGCACTTTCTGGATGGGGCCAGGGTGACACGAAGGGCCCCCTGTTTCTTTCCTTGAAGCCTAGCTTTACAGCATCAAGGCAGATCTCCTAGCTCCTAGCTGCCTCTTGGATGAACGGTGGGAATGATGAACTCTGGCTCATCATGAAACTTGCAAGATTTCAGGAAACCTTCCCTTCCCTAAATGATCCAGCCTTGATTTGCTACAGAGGATTCTGTCCACTGGCATCCCCAGGCAACGCACTCCTGGGAAAGAGAGGATGTTAGGAGCCAATATTCATCTTCATCTCTCCGGGATGACCGTGGTCACTCAGAGCCCACACCTCCGTGAACCAGTGGGCTTTCTCTACCTGAGTGGCCCCAGCCAGACCCGAATGGATGCTCAGGAATCCAGGAGCTCAGAAGAATCAGTTCCCATCCTTCCCTCCCTTCCTTCCAGCCTCCTAGAAGGGACCAGCATGGCAGTGCCCTAGGGCCTTGCTTTTCCTCACACAGCATAGAGGGGCGGGCGGCAGCAATTACAATTCTGTCGCTCTTTATTTTGCCACAATGATGCCAGTTTTCACTTCAGCAGTGGAGAGGGGGGTCCCACACCCTCCCACATGTCCCTGGGCTCCAGGTTGGCAGGAGCAAAGTTACCACAGCGTGGGTCAGAGTTCCTAGCCCTCTGAAGCCAGCGTCATCTGCATAAACAAACAATAAGGTGGAAAGCCCACCTTTTCCTGCTAGGGGCGAAGGGCTTGGCAGAGGAGAGAAGGAAGGAGGTGGAGAGGGAGGGAAGAAGGCCTCCAGGTGCCCTCAGGAGGCTACAGCCTTCTCTGCAGCCACTAGTCAGCAGGGGGCTTCTGGGAGCAGCCAGCCCCTCCCTTCAACCCAGTTGTCTAAGTGACAGAGGGAGAAAAGGGGAATATTCGAGTGTTGTGATGATTGACATATATATGCATATTTTTTTTGAGAGCAGTTGGGTTGGGGATGAACACAGGAAAAAGTACAACCCGTCTGGAGTTTGATTTATTTTTATTGCTCTTTAAAACCATGCAAATAATTGATATTTATTGAAAAAAAAAAAAACAACAGGAAACACAGATAAGCCAAAAGAAAACAACGAAAATCAGCTGTTAACACCTTGGCAGATATCCGTCTCATAAAGACTCCTTTTGTTTCATTAATAAAACGGTGTCATGCTGTTATACAGCCTGATAGCCTCACTTGCTTTTTCCTTCTGTGTGTGCTTGAGTATGCCGTGAGGACAGAGGTCCGCCTCAGATATCACCCTCAGGAATGCCAGGCACCTTGATTTTTCTGAGGCGCAGTCTCTCACAGGGACCCGGAGCTCACCAATTAAATGAGGCTGGCTGTCAGCAAGCCCCAGGGATCCACCTGTGTCCGGGTCCCCGGTAATGGGATTGCACATGCACAAGGCCACTCCAGGCCCTCACGGGAGCACAGGGTGTCTGCTAGGGAAGAAGCAGGCATTAGTGTTTGTACAACCAGCGCTTTGACCCACATTTTTTTTTTTAAGATTTATTTTTGGAGCCGGGTAGTGGTGGTGCAAGCCTTTAATCCCAGCACTAGGGAGGCAGAGGCAGATGGAGTTCTGTGAGTTTGAGGCCAGCCTGGTCTACAAGAGCTAGTTCCAGGATAGGCTCCAAAGCTACAGAGAATCCCTGTCTTGAAAAACCAAAAAAAAAAAAAAAATTTATTTTTAGGAGGCTGGAGAAATGGCTCAGCGATTAAGAGCATTGCTGCCCTTCCAGAGGACCCGGGTTCAATTCCCAGCACCCACATAGCAGGTATTCACAATTGTCTGTAACTCCAGTTCAGTTCCAGGGACCCTGGCATCTTCAGACAGACATATGTGCAGGCAAAACACCGATGCACATAAAATAAAAATAAATACATCTAAAAAAAGAAAAGGATTATGTTTGGCTTGTTGGTGATGGCACACACCTTTAATCTTAGCATTCTGGAGGCAGAGGCAGGCAGATCTCTGTGAGTTCGAGGCCAGCCTGGTCTACAGAGCAAGTTTCAGGACAACCAAGGATACACAGAGAAACCCTGTCTTGAAAACACAAAACAACAAAAAATATTTATTTTCATTCTGTGTGCTTGAGTGTTTTGCTGGCACGTATGTGTAGGCCTGATGTCCACAAAAAAAAAAAAAAAAAAAAAGACAGAAGAAGGCATCAGATCCCCTAGAACTAGAGTTATGAATGGTTGTGAGCCTCCATGTGGGTGCTAGGAACTGAACCCAGGTCCTCTACAGGAGCAGCCAGTGCTCTTAACCACTGAGCCATCTCTCCAGCCCCTAACCTGATTTTATTTTTGATGGAATAAGATATAGGACATCTTTTCAGGACAACGGATAGATGTACTTTATATATTGGCATGACTAGTACCACATGAGCTAGACATGGTGGTTTATGCATGTAGTCCCAGCGACTAGGTAGAAAGGTTGTTTGGATCTAGGAAACCGGGTCAACATATAAATGCCCCTTTTGCTGTGGTTTGTTTTATTTTCTGAGATGGGGTCTTATGGGCACTGGAGAGATGGCCCAGCCATCTTAGAAGAACTTGTTCAGAGATCTATCTGCCTCTGTGCACCCCCCCCCCCCAAGTACCAGGATTAAAGGTCTGAACAACCACACCCTGCTATGGTCTAGAGACTCAGATCTGATCCCCAGAAACCATGTGACAGCCCATAACTATCTGCAACTCTACACCCAGGGGATGCTGTACCTTCCTCGGGTCTCCAAAGGCACCAGGCAGGCATATAGTGCACAGACATATACATTCAGAGGCAAAACATCCACACACATTGAAAAGTAAAATGTAGGGGCTGGAGAGATGGCTCAGATGTTAAGAGCACTGACTGTTCTTCCAGAGGTTCTGAGTTCAATTCCCAGCAACCACATGGTGGCTCACAACCATCTGTAACGAGATCTGGTGCCCTCTTCTGGCCTGCAGGGACACATGCAAGTAGAATGCTGTATACATAATTAGTAAATAAATCTTTTTAAAAAGAAAAAAGAAAAATAAAATGTATTCCAATATTGTTTAGAGGAGATACAGTCTCAGGTAGCTCAGGCTGGCCTTGAACTCATGTGTAGCTGAGAATGAACTTGACCTGATCCTCCCACTTCTTCAGTGCCAAGATCACATGTGTTCACTACCATGCCTGTTTATGCTCCCCTGAGGATCGAACCCGGAGCTTTCATGCATGCTAGGCAAGTAAGTACTCAACGCTACCAGATAAGCTCCTCCCCAGCACTGAAGGACCCTGTCTTAATACAAACAATCATTCAGTTGGGCATAGTGGTACACGCCTTTAATCCCAGCATTAGGGAGGCAAAGGCAGGCGGTTCTCAGTGAGTTTGCAGCCAGCCTGGTCTACAGAGTGAGTTCCAGAACAGTTGAATCTGCACAAAGAAACCCTGTTTCAAAAAAACCGAATAAATAAATACAACCACTCACTTTATGAGTCTCTGCTCCGCAGTGGAGATTTCCTGGGCACCTGTACCGGGGCTGAGGAGAGACATCAGACTGTGGGGACCTGATTTTACTCCCCCTTCATCCGCTGGCCTCTTGTACCACACATAGAGCTGTTCCAAGACAAAGACACAAGATCCCAACAGATCAAACCTGAGTTCCCCTTGACCTCAGAGGCAGGATACAGGCTGGCAGGGTTGTGGGGAGGGGTGCTGGGCACAGGGCAAAGCCACACTGGAGGGCTAATGCAGGCTTAACTGGAAATCCTACTGGCTGAGGGCTGGCCACGGGAGAGAAATGGTTTCTTACAGTGATAGAGTTCTGGGATCAGATAGCATGCTGGCTTTGTCACCTACCAGCTGGGACAACTGAACAAATGACCCAGCCTCATATTATATGTGTAAAACTAATGAGAGCTACTAATCATGCTGGCATTAGTGTAACGATTCAGTGAGAGAATCTGCAGATGATGAAACACATGGACGGTAGCTGCCTCTGCACCCACGGTGATGGGCTGCGTTACCACCGCTGCGGTGCTCCGGCCCCGCCCACGGATCTGCGGTTGCCCACTACATCTCCCTCGTCTCATACCCCCAACTCTTTGCTTTTCATCCTTTCTTTCCCCTTTCTTGATTCTGCTCCCACCTCCCTTTCTCCCTTGCTGGGCCATTATGGCGAATGGGAGAGACTGCTGCAGGCAGCCCCGCGCTACGGAAGGCAGGAGGCCCCTCGGCAATGTAGCCTGTGATTTCTCAGAAGAAAAACACCGGCTCCACCTGGCCCAGAGGAACAGGCTCTGCCTGAGGGCTCCTGTGTCCTTAGACTGAGCAGGCTGGCTGAGTGCCTGAATGTTCTGGAAGGTCAGGGAGGACAGGGGGGTTCGCCTGAATAGCAGCCCTGGCACCTGTGTTTGTGTGTGTGTGGGTGGGAGAGGAATGGGCTGTGCCCAGCTGGGAGGAGCCACTGGTCTGGGACTAGGAGAGGGTTTGATAGCCCCTGGCTACAAAGACAGCTTGGCCCCTGGGCCAGGCCTGATCCTGGTAGCCAGACCTATTCATGAGGAGAGAGGCTCCTTCAAAGACAGAGGGACTACCCTTGTGCCGGGGGCCAGAGGTGGAGAGTGAGCAAGAGTGAAGCCATAAGTTCTCCAGAAAGGTCACCGCAGGGCCCCCATTACCAGCCGTCTTGAGCTCAGGATGAGATTTTTCTCATACAGTTTTATCTACTCCCTGGACTGCCTCCAGCGTGCAAGCCACTGACACGCTGAGGTCTTTACAATCGATTTCCTGGAAAACGGCCACTCAGTCAGCAGTCACGTGGGAGGTGTGTGTGTGTGCTACTGAGACTTGTATGGCTGAGGGCTGAGGAAACAAGAGAGCCCTAAGCCACCCTTCCACATTGTGGCAGCGTCCACCAAGAAGGGCGGGCACGCATTTTTGCCCACCGGCTTCACCAGAGGAAGCGATGGCCGAAAGATTATTTACAATCATGCAGAGAGCCCGGGCAACATGCTCCCTGGGGGATTGTCGGTGTGGTGACAATCAGAGACACCTCAACTGTCCATCAGGCAGGGCTGTCACATTCTGAGAGTGGGTGGTGGCCCCTGGAATCGGGTAGACCTGCCATTTACTACAAAAGCTGCCTCATGCTCCCCGAGGGAGAGCAGGGGCGGAGGAGAAGCTACAGAACCAGCTGTCGGTGCTATAGCCACACGCGGACCGTTTATGCAGAAAGCTAAGAAAAATCTAGCAAGGCTCCTTCCCCCGAGAGGAAGTCCAGCGTGGACTGTTCCAAGCAAGCAACTGCAGAGCCATCCGGTCAGCCATTTGTGTAAAACCGCCATGAAACAAAGAACTTGACCTCGTCCATATGCGAGCAAGTGTGTGTTCTCTGTGTAAACACCTGGAAAGTCTGGCGTGGTACCTGTGCGCTTATGGTTATTGCCGGGGACAATGGTGACACTGGTCAGGAACAGGAATGAAAGGAACTGCTTTCCTGTTGCTGCTGCTGCTGCTGTTTCTCATTATTTATTTGCTTATTTATTTTGAAACAGACCTGACTCTGTAGCAGAGGCTGGCCTCAAACTCATGGTGCTCCCCCTGCCTCAGATTCCTGGGTACTAGAATTACAGGTTTGAGCCACCAGCTCACTTTTTTTTTTCTCTGTATTTTTGTTTCCAAAACAAAGAGCGGAGAAAGCTAGAGCACTGCCTCTTCGGGTTTGTTCTGTTTGTTGCCTGATTGCTTCCCCAGGCCTGCACTTCTTCTGGGAAGATGTCTCTCTCCCAAGTCCCTCAGCTTCCACTAGGCAAGGTGAAATCAACATCAGAATGTCACCTGAATCAACATCAGAAGGCCACTGCCACACTGGAGGGGGACAATGTTGGACTTCTGCTCCAAGTCCAACAGTGCCTGTGTAGAGGCGGCCCTCACAGAGGGAGAGCACTTCCCTGGGGACCTCCGGGAGGCATTGGTGAGGAACCCAAAAAAGCGGGAGTAGAATGACTTCAAACTCAGCTGCTTTTTCTGGCCCCCCATTCCCACCGATCCCTAGAAGGGTGGGAAGGGGTAAGAATAGCTTTCTTTCTGCCTTCATGTTGGCGGTCGGCCCATTGCCAGGCCTAAGCCAGAGCCAACACTCTGGCTTCTGGCTGGAGCCAAACCTGCCTCTAATGGAGTCACAAACAGTCCCCAGTGCTAGGCCAAGACCCCAAAAGTATTTATCTTGCCTGGCACTGCATTCCTTAGCCCGTCTTGCCGTACTGGGCACAGGGCCTATTTGCCCTCCAGGGCTCTCTGTTCTCAAAGAGAGGCCCTCTGGCCTGGAGACTCATGTGGCTGCCAGGACTATGATGGGTCTGGTTTCAATTTCCAGAGAGTCTTTGCTTCCTCTTTCCTTGTTCTAGGGGGAAGAACAGGGACCAGGGACAAAACAAATTGGTCACAGGCCTATTCCACACCAAGAGAGCAGCTAGGCTCTGGGGACATTAGCTCATTCACAACTAATGCCCATGTGGCCCTAAAGACACGGTCACAAAGAGGAGTGAGAGGGGTGAGATGGCCACGCAACCTCTACAGAGCTAGTTCTAGGACAGCCAGAGGTACAGAGAGGAACCCTGTCTCCAAAAAGCAAAATAAGTACACAGCAATAATAATAACAATAATAGTGATAATAATAAGACACTCAGAACTATCATACTTGTCCCTCTGGAGCATCTGTGCCTATGTCACCTCCCTGTCTTGATGTGCGGCCAGCAGAAATAATGATCAATACACACTGTGGACACAACGACAGGAGGGAGGACCTGAAGACCAACTGCTTTCGGAGCGGACACACAAAGGGGACTCACGCAATGTCTCCCCATAGTACGTGTCCCATAAATTCCAGTAGATGTGGGGCCTGGAGGCTGTTTGGTTGTCACCAACACTGGCTTGTTTCTAGGCCAACGATTCTAGGCAGCAGGGGTGGGAGCCACACCTAGTCTGAAGTGTTGAGCCTGGAGACAGTGGCCAGCCTCCCACTACAAGCTCCTTCCTGGCTTCAGTTGCTCCATAGCAGCGCCAGCAACTCTTCTATGCAGGATGCTGCCTGCTCTGGGCTACGCATGGTCTGCTACAATCAGGGCTGTCTCTAGAGGAGGGGAGAGGCCACCTCCGGGGACCCTGTGCCCAGAAACTAATCTCTAGCTGAGAGCCAACTGGCTCCTCAGATCCTCAGCAGACTGTAGAGAACAAGGAAGGCTGTCTTTGGGGTCCTTTCTGGGCACTAGGGAAGAAACTTCCCCGGCAACAGGATTCATGATCTGAACTGGAGCTTCCTGGAAACCAAAGGACTGTCACGTCAGGGGACTGAAGACCTCAGGCCTGAAAATTCAACTCAGTGACTTGCTCTTCCTCCAGGGTCCCCTCTGGCCAAGCTTCCTGGTTGAACAATGACTCAGGGCAGAACTGCTTCCCACACCTACAGGCCAGTCCCTGTCCAGGCTATCTCAGGCCACTCTGCCCTCACACACCTGCAGGCTTGTAGTAGAGGTGATATGCCCCAAGCAAGGACAAGGGAAGCTGAAGAAAAAGCCAGCCGCCAGGGTCTCCAGGGGGACACTGTCTTTCTGCCTTCCTTCAGGCCCTTCCGGTTCCCCTCTCCCCAGGAGTGCTGGCCCTGATTCGGACCTGGGGTGAAGTTGTGTTTGTGTGGGGTGCAAGACACATCGTCTTTGTACAATCCTGTGTTCGCAGCAGGTCGGGGATGGAGCCTGAGAGTTTGAATTCCTTCTTTGATACAGGGTCTCATGTAACAGCCCAGGCTGGCCCGGGACTCTGGATCCTCCTGCCTATACCTCCTGAATGTTGGGTAACAAGTCTTTGACACCACACCTGAGCCTGCTTTTCTAAACAAGTTCCCTTTTGTGGTGCTTCCGTTGCCAACACAGGGGCCAGTGCCATCACTGTCCAGGCACAAAGACTGCACTGTGAAATATTAGTCTCTGCCGTGTGTCATTTCTTTGACAAATGTTTCTCTGGACCCCTGAAAAGAATCGAGGAACCCACCAGTACACATTTTCACGGGAACCGATTCTACGCGGGCACTCACCACGTTGGTTTTTTTTTTTTTTTTTTCTCTCAAGACAGGGTTTCTCTGTGTAACAGCCCTGACTGTCCTGGAACTAGCTCTTGTAGACTAGGCTGGCCTTAAACTCTGCCTTCCGAGTGCTGGGACTAAAGGCGTGGGCCACCACTACCCAGATTACCACGTTTTCCATGACTACGAATTTGTGAAATTCCTGTCAATCACCTCTCTGTCTGCGGTCTCTTTCATTTACTGATAGCTCCCTGGTGCCTAGCTACGTGCCTGGCACACAGTAGGTCCAACAGATAATTGCTGAATTAACAAATAGATGACCTTTATGTATAAAACTATTCAGACACTTTATTGTGTTCTGGAGAGCCAGGCCCAGGGAGAGCCCTGGGAGGCCACGGTTCAGTCTCTGTGTGTTATAGGTGTGTGACCTTGGTTGCTCCCTAAACTTCTCTGCGGGAGTTTACCTGTAAACTCGGAGTCACATCCATGAATAATCTGAAAGGTTACATAAGAATCAAATGAGCTAATGTGTCTA